CTCCTCTCCGGCTAGCTGCATGTGTGCCCCCTGGGATTTGGAGGCGGAGCTGGGGGAGAGCAGTGTGCAGGTGGGATTTATGTGCACATTATTGTTCCTTTCTGCAGTTTCAGGGTCACGCTGTGCGGCGCCTGACAAGTGAGGGGCAGCCTGCCAGGGGATTACTGCCAGTGAACAAGCACGCCCACCTTACCGGCAGGCCCGGCGGCCTGGCCCTGGGAGAGCAGGGATGGGCAGTGGAGCCCCGGCCAGCAGTACCAGGAAGGAGGCCACAGCCCCAGTGGGGAGCCCCGTGCATGCTCAGCTGGCCCTCTGAACAGCAGCTGTTCGCAGGCAGGCCCTGGAGAGTCCCATGTGGCTGGAAGAGGGGCTCTGACCATCAGGAGGAGCCAGCCTCTCAGCTGGGGCGCAGGAGGGCAGGAGCTGGCACAAAGCGAAACCTGGGCCCAGTCGCAGCAGTGTCCTGACAACCCTCGAGCTTCCTGGCTTTCTCCTCCAGGCGCTGGGGCCTGGCTCCCCGCCGGCAGAGAGCTTGGGCCAGGCTGGCCACCGTAGGCAAGGCGATTGCATGGAATCCAGGCCCTGGGCAGCCCACCTGCTCTCTGCTGGGATTTGGGTTCTAGGGCGTCCCCATTGCAGGGGACGAGGGGCTGCCGTGGTGTCTGCTCATGAACCACAAGGACCCCGACTGCTCCGGACTGGACCATTTCAAACCGCCAAAGAAGGGGACCCCCAGAGTTGGCAGTCAGCCACCCCAAGGGACTAGAGGGCTGAAATGGACTGACCTCCCCCTGGCTGGGGCAGCGGGCACAGCAGAGCCTCTGTGGCCCAGCTAGTGACTGGAGAGACCAGTGAAGCCACAGCAAGGCTCGGAGTGGCCCAGGGTACCGAGGGAAGGGACAGGGGGAGCCCCCTCCTGCCAACCTCACTGAGAGACAAGTGGCGTGGGCCCTGCCACGGCTTGTGCCCCTATGCCCTGTGCACACGGGCTACTCTGTGGCTGGCCCCACCTCGGGCTGGGAAAGGAGTGGCCACGGTGACCTCCGCCTGCCGGGTGGGCCGGCCCCCTGCTGTTGCGCACCATGAAGTGCTCCCTGCGGGTCTGGTTCCTCTCCGTGGCCTTCCTGCTGGTGTTCATCATGTCGCTGCTCCTCACCTATTCGCACCACAGCCTGGCCACCCTGCCCTACATGGACTCGGGGGCCCTGGGGGGCTCCCACCCCCTGAAGCTGGTGCCCGGCTCCGCTGGCCCGCAGCAGCACCTGGGCAGGGAGGGGATTCTGGGCAAGAGCTGTGCCTGCCGCCACTGCGTGGGTGATGCCGGGGCCTCCAGCTGGTTTGATAGCCACTTCGACAGCAACATCTCCCCGGTCTGGAGCCGAGAGAACATGGATCTGCCCCCGGACGTGCAGAGGTGGTGGATGGTGAGAGCCCGGCCCCTCCTCCGGGGTGGCTGCTACCCCTTCTGGAGCCCCTGTTGTATGCCTGCTGTCTGCTCTGTGCCCCTTGAGGCTGAGGCCCGTTGGACTAGAGGACTAGGACGACAGAGGGGCAGTGAGAGGCAGAGCTGGCCGTTGGCCTGGCTGGGGAGAGGATTGGTTCCTGGAGCCCAGAGGGACTGAGCAGTGTAGACCAGAAATGCCTGCGGGGCCAGGTAGGTGCCACAGACAGCGAGGGAGGAGGCAGTGTGAAGGGAGGCCCATGGGAAGTGGCCCCTGTCCTGTGTAAAGGGGGCACCTCTCCCTGGTGCCCGACAATCGCCGCTGTGTGAGGATATCACTCATCTCTGCCTCCAAGGACCTTCTGACCTTTTCCAAGAGGCTGGAAATCCAGATGGCTTTGGGGAAAATATTATACTCTGTAAACATGGGCTCATAGTCATTGTAAACCCCAGGGACACTCACTTGAAGGGCTTCAGATCCCCGCCTCTCCCTCTACCTGGAGCATCCCTCCCCAGCCTCTGCCAGAAACAGCTGTTTGTCAGGCGCTGGCGGGAGGGCGGGTGGAGCAGCACCTGGCTCCCAACATTCCCCTTTGGAGGCCCTGGGAGGCAGCTTGTGGTCCCTGGGTACCTCCACCTCTTCCTCAGTTGCAGGGCTGTGGTAAGGATGAACAGCCGTTGGCAGGTTCACTGAGCAACTCCACACAACCTGCTCTCTGGACTGGGCAGTTTGCTGAGCAGAGGTGGCTGGAGCCCTGCCATTCTGCCCCCTGCCAACCTGTGGGTCATAGTCACAGCCCTCATCTTAGGGGGAAGTCAAGGGTCAGAGGGTGTCCAGACTTGCTCTTTGGTCTCAGTGGTGGCCAAGGAGGGCAGGGCAGGACTCAGTTCTGCCCACAGGAGTGCAGCAGCTGATCCAAATCCAGGCGCATCTCTGGGCAGAACCCTATTTCACCCCTGCTTCCCACCCCCACCCCCCGCTGCCACTCCAAAAACCAAAGCCAAACTCACTAGGATCCAGCAATGCTGACTCATAGCAACCGCCTGTGGGTTTCCGAGCTGGCAACTGTGGATGGGAGAAGAGAGCCCAGTCTTTCTCCTAAAGAGCTGCTGGTGGTTTTGAACTGCTGACCATGCGGATTGCAGCCCAGTGGGAAACCACTACACCACCAGGGCTCCTCCCTGCTGCCATAGACAGGAGTTCTCTTAGAGCCAGGCCCTCTCCAGAGTCCATTCCAGGCAAACTGGTGGGAATGCAGGGGACCAGCTGGATGCTGACAGAGGCTATTCTTCCCATCCTCAGGGTGCAGAATGGCTGCAGGCACCACTAAGATGGTTTGCCCAGTGCCAGCCTCCTGAGTCCCAGGGATACCCCCTGTAGGCTGATAAGGAACTCCTGGCTGTGCCTCAGAACTGCCCAGGGTCCAGCAGAGCAGGGGCCTCTGCATGCAGGACTATCCTAGGGCGCTTCTCTGCTTTGAGGCTCTGGGCAGCAGCTCCCTCAAGAATGGGAAGATAGCAGCTCCATCCTTAGATCCTCCACTGCCCACCAAGGCCCCAGGGCACCAAGGTGTGGGGTCTCCTGACAAAGGGGAGACTATTGTTGAAAGAGGTGGGGATAGGTTGACCCCAAAGAGAAGTCCTCTCTCACTCCTCAGAGAGATTGGGCTTGTGGGCTGAGGCCTTCAGGGTGGGGGAGAGCAGCCGACTGCTCTCCCTGCTCACCCTGTCTGCCCCCTCTCTCTCCATCTCACCGCCCACCCCTTCCCTCCCCAGTTGCTGCAGCCTCAGTTCAAGTCACACAACACCAACGAGGTGCTGGAGAAGTTGTTCCAGATCGTGCCGGGCGAGAACCCGTACCGCTTCCGTGACCCCCGCCAGTGTCGGCGCTGCGCCGTGGTGGGGAACTCGGGCAACCTGCGGGGCTCGGGCTACGGGCAGGACGTGGATGGGCACCACTTCATCATGAGGTGAGCCTCGGTAGCCTCCGGATTCCGGCTCCTTCGCCAGAGGCTCCTACCCCTCCTCGGTCTGTCTGGGAAGGCGGCGGAGGCAGAGGTGGTACCAGTTGTAGACTTTGCAGACGGAGCCCGAGTTCCGAATTCTTCCGGAAAGAGATGGCAGAGCCTCTTGGGTGAAGTGCATTGAGACCCTCCTGAGGAGCTTCCTGCCAGCCTGCTCCCTCCGAGGCGATGCCTCTCAGAAGACAGTGGCCTGGGCAGGGGCAGAAGAGGGTGTTGTGTGTCCTGTTCCTGGTCTGGCCTGCTGCTCCTTGTCCGTGTCTCCCCGGGGTTAGATGATGGTTAGAGGGGCAGGGCCTTCATTCCAGAGCAGCAAGGAGGGCCTGGGCAGGAGTGGGGAGCAAGCTGCTCATTCTGCTTCGGAACGCTGGCTTTTCTGACTTCCCGTGTCCCCTTGGCTGGGGACAGGAAATGCCACCGAAGGACCCTTCCCCTCCCACTCCTGTGATGGAGGAGGAGGTTTAAGAGCAATGATTCCCCGCCCCCCCGCCCCCCCATCATATTCTCTGAGCATTTTTCAGGGAGCACTACAGATAGGCCAGGTTTCCCAGGAGGTGGGAGGAAGGGTTTGTCTTAGAAACTGTTGCTGCTGTCGCCATAGCAACACCGGGCAGCCTTGTGTCTCCAGCGGCTTCCACATTCCTCTTGCATAACCTTCCCTATGCTGGGAAGTGGCGTGTGCCTCTGTCGGGGTGGGGTTGGGGGCCAGCCGTGAGGGCGTGGTGGGTGGAGAGGAGGATTCTGGGAACCACCTGAGCTTGCCCCCATCCTCCAGCTGCTGGCCTCCGGAAGGGGAGCAGTTACTCTCCACCCCAGGCTGAGCTGGAGGCCGAGCGTGGGGAATAAGGCCTCCAATGGGCTGGGGCAGCTATTGGGACATTTGGGAAGCCAAGAAACATGAGACTGTCCAGCATCTTGAACCTGCCTGCCTCCGGAGTAGGCGCGTCCCCTGGCCCTCCTGGTCAGCAGGGGCTGGAAGCCAGTGCTAGCAGCTCGGTTGGTAACCTGGCCTGGTTGCCAGGATGCTCCCTCGCAGGGTCTGGGCTGAGAGATGGGGTGTTACGTGGACCCCACAGTAGCTTTCTGGAAACCGTGTGATTCAGATGGTAGGCGATTGCCTGGTGCTCCTCTGGCACTGAAAGGGACTCTTTCTATATTAGTTTCGGGTCCTAGGAGCAGGATCAATGTCGCACACACTGGGGGCGCTGCGGCGACGGTGAGATGATGGCTCTTCCCACCTGTCCCCTGCTGCCTCCTCCCACCTGTCCGTCCTCTGTGCACTGCTGCCTCTGCTGAGCCCCTGGCAGACAGTATTGGTACCAGCGGCCATCACGCCGACTCTTCGTGATGCACAAGTGCCAGGGTAGGACCGTGCTCTCCGGGTGTTTCCAAGGCTGGCTTTGCAGAAGTAGATTTGCCAGGTTTTTCTTCCAAGGCACTTCTGGGTGGATGCAAGCTTCCGACTTTCCCATTAGCAGCCTTGCAGGTTAAACATTTGCACCAACCAGGGTCTCTGGTAGACACTCTAGAAGATTATATGTGTGAAGAAAAGGACTAGGTAACTAGGTGCTACATTCTAGACCAAAAGGCATGTGTACCTTGCCCTGCCTTCAGGTGCCACCAGGCCAGGGGCAGCTAGACTTCTGGAATCTTTGCCCCGTGTCCCAGAAATCATCTCATCACCCCCGTCCTGCTCTGGCCGCCTTCCAGAACTTGGTGTCTCCAGAATGAGTCAGAACCCAAAATAAAATCCTGGCCCCAGAGGAGTGCGCGCGCTCCATCGTGTTCCCTTGGAGGCTGTGGAAGATCTCTTGGACCTCTCACTCCATCCATTCCCACACCCCTGGGAACTGGTGGCCGCCTCGCAAGTAGGAGTGAGCTGGGGAAGGGGGAGACTCCTTGGCAGGGCCTCTTGGATTCCTGGAAGCAGAGTGGTCCTGGCAAGTTGGCCGGAGAAAGGACCTCATGAAAGTTCTTGGGTCTTCAGAAGCCATGTGTGTGAGGGGGGTGGGGGTGTGTGTGGGGAGGGAGGGAGGAGGACCAGCCCTTCATCTGCCTGTCTCCATCGCAGGTGACATGAGGTTTATTCCCTAGAATGGGCCTTGGCCCCAGCTCCTAGCCCACTGACCACTATACCACCAGGGTTCAAGGTCCTTACTAGCACTTGTAAATCTACTTCATTCTTTTACATGGGTATGAGATAGTCCCTTAGGAATAGAAAGTGCCAACATTGACTAGCAGGTTCTTTGCGGTTGTGTTTTTTAGTACTGTAACTTCGGCCCGGGAGTGCTTTCCCGTCTGATATTTAGCATTCTGCAGTGTTAGAAACAGTACTGAGGAGAGCACCCTTGCTTACCTGGCTCTGCACAGCACCTGCAGCTGCTTTTATAGGACAGAGGTCTAGAAACAGCATTGCTGGGTCAAGGTGCACACTCAATTAGATGATCGATGGACAGGACCAAACTGTCCCCGGAATCTCTTGTGCCAGCTTCGACGGTGGTTTCTTTTCACCCTAACCCTCTTGTGCCTGCAGGATGAATCAGGCACCGACCGTGGGCTTTGAGCAGGATGTTGGAAGCCGCACCACCCACCACTTCATGTACCCAGAGAGTGCCAAGAACTTGCCCGCCAACGTCAGTTTCGTGTTGGTGCCCTTCAAGGCCCTGGACCTTCTGTGGATTGCCAGTGCCCTGTCCACAGGGCAGATCCGATTGTGAGTGAGCAGCCTCTCTGCTTGCTGGGAGTGGCATATGTGGGAAAAGATACCCCTCCCCCCCGCCCCGCCCCCCGGGAGGGGCCTTCCCAGGACTAGATTGGAGAATTCCTTTAGGGTAGCCTTTTGGCCAAGATGTGGGGGGGGGGGGCCCAGAACAGTGGGTTATCTGAGGACACAGCGTGGGCCTTGCCGCTTCCTGTGCATTGCCATCAGCATCCTGGTGGTGGGAAGCCGAGGGAGGGACAGATCTTATCTGCGTCTCCTTTCCAGTGGTAGCTCATAACTGGGAACACTGCCTTCTGAACACTTTCTTTTTTTTTTTTACGGTTGAACACTTTCTTTAGGGAGCTGCTACTCCATCATTGCTGGGACCACGGCCAATCCAATTCTCCATTCATTTTCTTTAACAGCTTTATTGATCGCGATGTAATTCCCGTGCTGTACAATTCACCGGTACTTGAATGTCTTTTAGTGTGTTCACAGACTACTCTGGGCAGCCCTCCCGCTGATCTCAGGACCTGTCCATTGCCCCACCAGCTTAGCCACCACCCTCTTCCTGCTCCACACCCCCGGTCCTTTTGTTGTGAGCTGCCTGTGAATTGACTGTGACTCATAGGGACCTTATTGTGTGTGTACAACCAGACAATACATCGCCCAGCCCCGAACCACTGTCCTCGTGCGGGCATCGTGTCAGTCCGTCTTGCCAAGAGCCTCCCTTGGGGACGCTGTACCACAACACACATGATGCCCTCCTCTAGTGCTTGGTCCTCCCTGGTGGCAGGTTCCATCGGTTGTGATCCATCACGTGTTCATGGCCTAACTTTTGGAAGAAGGTCACCAGGCCTTTCTCCCTACTTTTATCTTAGTCTGGAAGCTCCCCTAAAATCTGCCTACCATGGGTGACCCTGCTGGTCCTTGAAATATTGGGGGCACAGCTTTCAGCATCACGGCAATACACAAGCCACAACAAACTGAAGTGTGCCCAGATGCCTAACCGCCACCCCCACCCGAGACCATCACTACCTTGCTTTCTAGGAGCCCTGCTGGCGAAGTGGTAACCCGTTTGGGCTGCCACGTGCAAAGTGGGCATTTTGAAACCGCCTGCCGCTCTGCAGGAGAAAGGAGGATAAGGCTTTCTCTTCCTGTCCTTCGTTACAGGCTCAGAAACCCACAGGGCCAGTTCTCGCTGGTCTATAGGGTCTGTATGAGTCAGAATCCACTCTATGGCAATGAAGGGTTTTTGAGGGGGAACCTGCTTTCTGCCTTACCATGCATTAAAAACAACAACAACAAAAACTATAAGGTACAGGTTCCCCCAGGATGTTCATTATGCTTGCAGGGAAATAGGGCAAAATATGTACTGTAGGGACATGGCTGATTCCAATAGGAGACATGGGACTCCCATCAAGCCCCCGTAGAGAAAGGAAAGAACTGAAAAAGCACAGACCTGGTAGCTTTGGGTGATCGGCTGACACAAGTGGAGAGTTCACAGCAGAGAGTGTGGGAAGCAAAGTGGGGGCCAGATAATGGGAGGCCCTTGTCTGAAAAATCGCTCTTCACCCCGGCAGACCGACCTGGGAAGCCATGAGAGTTTCTGGGCAAGTGGTGAGAGTGCTGTGGGGAGCCCTGAAAACAGGGAGGCCTGAGGGGGAGGAAAGGCAAACAGGGGCACCACCACAGGAGCCTCTGAGTGTGACCCTTCTGTCTGCTTGCAGCACTTACGCCCCAGTGAAGTCCTTCCTTCGAGTGGACAAAGAAAAGGTAAGCTCCCGCTCTCTTGATGGAAACAGTGCTGGTCTGATTCCTGTGGTCAGGTCCCCTGGGCTCCTTCTAGAACCTTCTGAGACTCCCATCCACTGGCATGCTTGGCCCCAGCAGAAGCCACAAAAGGCACAGGCCCATTGATAGAACCTGACCTGGGCCTCCGGGCGCTCAGAGCCTTCCCCGCCCCATGTGACCACATGTTCTGCTCCAGGTCCAGATCTACAACCCAGCCTTCTTCAAGTACATCCACGACCGGTGGACAGAGCACCATGGGCGCTACCCGTCCACAGGGATGCTGGTGCTTTTCTTCGCCCTGCATGTGTGTGATGAGGTGAGTCAGGAACTCTGCTCTTCTTAGCTGAAGGGGAATGTTGGGTTGGAGGCAGGGCCCTAGTTTCCCCACTTTGAGGCTGTCATGTTGAGGTAGATCTGCAGTTCCCAAACTCCACCACTGCCACGATTGTGCCAACCCTAAATCGCTGCATAAAAAGTTAAATTTGCTTTCCACGGTTGCCAGGCGATTTGGTGGCACCGTGGTTCTAGATTGCTAACTTGCGGCCAATCCCCACCAGCCTCCCCCTGGGAGACACGTGGTCAGTAAAGCTTATTAGATAGAGCCTTGGAGACCCCATGTGTCTCTAGGATTCAGAAGGACCTCAGGGCAGAGGTTTCTTTGTGAGCACAAGCAGAAATGGGATTGTGGCCTCACTTGGAACCCCAGACTGGCACTCTGGGACAAACCAGTCTGTGCATATGGGAACATTTGGGTCGTGGGCAGGGCTCCTACGCCAGCAAATTCCTTTCCCGGTAAATTCTTTCCGTGTGTGGCACTGAATTACAAGGAATCAAGAAGCTAGCAAGTTCTGGGTAGTCATCCTTGCTCCAAACGCATTTTCTGGATGGAGAGGGGAAGGGGGTGCAGCAGGCACCCAGTGGGCATCTGGGTTCCAGGGACTGAGGGGCTGGCAGCCTCCCGACCAGGGTGGGTCAGGTGCAGGGGCCTGGAGGCTCATCTGCTCACAGTCACCGACGCTTCCCCGCAGGTGAACGTGTACGGGTTCGGGGCCGACAGCCGGGGCAACTGGCACCACTACTGGGAGAATAATCGGTACGCAGGCGAATTCCGCAAGACTGGTGTGCACGACGCGGACTTCGAGGCGCATATCATTGACATGCTGGCCAAAGCCAGCAAGATCGAGGTCTACCGGGGCAACTGAGCCGGCCTCGCCGCTACCCTCCCGGCCCGGACTGTGGGCCATGCGAGGCGTCCTCGCTGCCCTGCAGGCCACCCGGTGCGAGCGCGGCGTGGCGCGGCACGAGTCCGAGCCCGCGAAGCTGCAGAGCCGCGGGCGCCGGCCGGCCCCGCCAATCACGGGACTCCAGGGGCCGTCCGGGCCCGCCGCCAATCAGCGCTGCCGCCGAGTGGAGCGACGTTGGTTCTTCCAGCCAATCATGCGACTCAAGGAGAACTTCCGGCGCTGGGTTCCCGTCTCCTCCAATCAATGGCCTTTGGAGGCGGGCCGGCGGCCGTTCAATCCCCTCCCCTTCCCCCCTTCTGCTCTTGGATAGGGTTTTTTTAAAATGCTTTTAAAGGAGGCGTTGCTCCGACCACGTTGAGATGGTAGTTTCCGGCGTGAGCCGCGAGCCAGTTTGACCCCATCAGCGTGAGGCGGCGGCGTTGGCGGGGCAGCCTCGGGCAGAACCTCCCCGGGGGTGGAAGGTGGAGTCGGTAAGGCGCGGCCTGGGTCCGGGTTCCCGGGAAGGGCGCCTTCGCCCCAAGACGTGAGCTGGAGCCCCCGGATCCCGCCAGGCCTCGGTGAGGATGTCAGACTCCACATTTCTTTATCAGGCCAGGTAGGTGAGTGCCAGCCCGCCAAAGAAACGCAGTCCAGGTGACAACGCGGAGGGCGCGTGGGTCCTTTGGGCCTCCCTCTCCCACCCAGCCTTTGGCCACCTTATGGAATGGCCTTGCCATGGACAACAACGAGGGAGTGTCGGTCGCCCCAGGGCTTGGGGTTCGAGTTGTTCGCTTAGGGCCTAACTCTGGAACGTACGTGGAAGGAGCAGGGCAAGGGACCAGAAACCTGTCACATCACATGTAAGGTGCTTCTCAAGTGTACCCTCAGCCCCTACTGTTCACCCACGACCTTTTCAGTGTGTCTCCTTAGGCCACCTGCCCACCTTAGTTGTTGCTTGGGAAATGGTCAAACCCTGAGACTGAACCCCCGCTACACACACACACACACACACAC